AAATAAAAATTCGAAAAAATAAAAATTCCACGGTTTTTTTTTTTTTTTTTTAATTTAACTTCGGATTAATTCGAAATAAAATTTCAGGATTCAAAAGAATTCAAATGATCCAAATCATTTTGATTCATTTTGGAAGCTGAAATTTAATTATTTTCAAATCTTTTTTTTTTCCTTTCCAAATTAATTTGTTTTATTCATGAAATTAAATTTTAATCCATTTTTAAAATCCTGAAATTTTATTCCAAATCAATTCCATTGACTTGGAAACCGGATTGATTTGAAAAGAATTTTTTAATTTCTACAGACGAAAATTCAAAGGAATAGAAATACTGTAAAGTGAATTTTATAATTTAAAAAAAAAATTAAAGCTTCGGATTGATTCGGAATAAAATTTCAATATTCAATTGAAACAATTTTTGAAAATAATTTTAGATTTATTTGAAATGAAATTTAAAAATTAAAAGGATTAAAATTTAGCTTCGAATTGATTTGGAATAAAATTTCTGGATGTATAAAAAATTAAGCTTTGAAAAAAACGGATTGATTTGGGATAAAATTTAATAATTTACAAAGATTAAAATTTACCTTCGGATTGATTTTGGAATAAAATTTGCAGGATTTAAAAGGATTAAAATTCAACTTTTTTATAAAACTGATTAATTCGGAAAAAATTTTGAATTCTGATAAATAAAAATTCAAAAAAATAAAAATTCCACGGTTTTTTTTTAATTTTAATTTAACTTCGGATTAATTCGGAATAAAATTTCAGGATTCGAAAGGATTAAAATGATCCGGATCATTCTGTTTCATTTTGGAAGCTAAAATTTAATTATTTTCAAAATTTTCTTTCTAAATTAATTCGTTTTTTTCTGAAATTAAATTTTAATCCTTTTTTAAAATACTGAAATTTTATTCCAAATCAATTCCATTGACTTGAAAACCGGATTTATTCGGAAAGAATTTTTTAATTTTGACAAACGAAAATTTAAAGGAATAGAAATTTTGTAAAGTAAATTTCATAATTAAAAAAAAAATTTTAATTTACCTTTGGATTAATTCGAAATAAAATTTCGGTATTCAAATGGATTAAAATTAAACTTTGTAAAAAAAAATTGATTCTGTATGATCCTGATAGAATTTTGGAAAATAATTTTGGATTTTCTGAATGCAAAAGGAATAAAAATTAAGCTTTGAAAAAAAGTATTGATTTGGAATGATTTGTGATGAATTTTAGAAACGATTTGATTCGGAATAAAATTTAATAATTTAAAAAGATTAAAATTTATCGAATTGATTTGAAATAAAATTTCACAATTTTGAAAGGATTAAAAATAAACTTTGAATTAAAAAAATTGAATTAATTCGGAACGATCTGAAAAAAACTTTGAATTCTGATAAATGAAAATTCGAACAAATAAAAATTCTACAAACTGAATTGTCGGTTAAATAAAAATTCTATAATACAGAAAATTGAAATTTCTTCTAAAAAAAATAATTCGAATTTTTCTAAAAAAAAAAAATACTTCTATCTAATGAAATTCTATGTAAAATAAAAATTCTAACAAATTAATTTTAGGCATTATTATAATACGTATTTAAAAATTTACTTACAAAATCTGAAAAGCTTTTAGGAAGTTTTATTAAAATCTGTTAATTCTATTATCGATAGAGGCTCCTTTAAGGAATGTGAACCCCTTTTTCTTGCGATATGGGGGTAGGATATATACGTAACGAGATAATTAATGCACCGCTTTGGAATTAGTCGATTTACATAAAGAGTCGAGGACATCAGTCTCATCCGAAGAAGAGGTGCCGCTCGCGCTCACTGACGACAGGAAACTCCGGTTACACTATTGCGGAAACAAATGAGCCGGTTTCATTCTAAAAAAAAAAATCAAGAGAAAAAGAATGTCTGCGGTCAAAATACCTGATTTCCTAATATTACTTGTTTTTTTTTTTTTTTTTTTTTTTTTTAGAATTTTTTATTTTCTCATACAAACAAAAATTCTAATTTTGTAAAATATTTTCTATCCTAATTTGAATTATCAGAAAAATAACATGATTTTAGTTATAAAAAATTTTTTATTAATAATTATTAATCCGAAATTAAATTCTTTTGTAAATGATATTTTTTTAATTCCATTTTCATCAAAATCTATTAATTTTATTATCGACCCTAACGAAAGTTTCTTATTAAATTTTAATAATTATTACATCAAGACATTCTGAAATTTGTTTTCGAGACAATATTTTTTTTTATCCAAATCTAAATTTTTACGTAAATCAACAAAAAATAATTTTACGTTTCAATCCGAAGCTTTTAATCTTTTTAAATTATGAAATTTCATCCCGGAGTGAATTCCGTTTCCAAAAATTCTTTCCAAATCAATTCGTTTTATTCCAAAATTAAATTTTAATTCCAAAATTTTATTTCGAATCAATTCTATTTGGAAACGAATTTTTTTTATTTATTCGTAATTAAATTTTATAATTGCTATTTTTTTTAAATTTTTGAGTATACTTTTGCTACTTTTTTATCTAGTTTTCTCATTTTATTTCGAAACCTTCGAATTGATAAAGAGATGAAGATATATTTCTAAATGGATCACCCGGTGGACATCCGAGGTGGATTGCTTTGTCTTTGAGACTGTCGTACGCTGCCGGACAACGGATGCAGGCGCCACACGGGCGGCTTTGAGTAGCCTCCGTTTTTTGTGAGGATTAAATGCGAGTCGATCTGACGATAAGCTCGAGAAAACTGCAATGGAAGCGAGCAACTTCTCTTTTCCTTTACACAAAAAAAAACGTGAAACAAATTAACTTTCATTCATTTCAAATTTCAATAAAAAAAAAAAATTCCTTAAACATAACAAAATTATTTTTTTGAAAAATTAATTTCTTTTCTAACTCTCAAAAAATAATAATTTCGATTTTGTACACAGGAAATGAAACTGAAGTTACCAACGTTGATTCAACGGAAAAAAAAATTAAAATTAAGGATTCTAATTCCCATCAATGATATTTGATTATTTTCAACACATTCAAAATTTGAAATAAAAAAAAACAATATTTATCATTGATTGTCACGGAGCAAGTAAATTGCTATTTCCTCGACTCGGAAGCAAATTTTCTCGTTTGATAATTATTTATTTCAATGCTAGAAGCCTTTTAAAAAAATAAAGAAAAATTGCTTCAGAGGCGAGGAAAACAATACTTATCATTATTTTGTCACGGATTTTTCGAAAATCCCAAAATTTCAAGTAAATTGCCATTTCCTCGTCTTGGAAGTAATTTTTCTCGTTTGATAATTATTTATTTCAATGCTAGAAACATTAAAAAAAAAAAAAAACAGAAAAATTGCTTCCAAGTCAGGAAAAGCAGTGATTTTAATTTTTTTGTCGCAGATTTTCCGAAAATCCCGAAATTTCAAAAAAATTGCTATTTCCTCGATTTGGAAGCAAATTTTTTTTTTTATACTAGCATTGAAACATAATTATCAAAAGCGAAAATTTGCTTCCGAGGCGAGGAAATAACTTCCAATTTTGGCATTGTCAGAAAATCCGTGACAAAACAATGATAAATATTGTTTATTTTTTTTTTTTTTTATTTAAAGTTTTTGGAGGTGTTGAAAGTAATCAAACATTGATGGGAATTAGAATTCTTAACTTTTATTTTTTTTTGAAATCAACGTTGAATCAACGTTGGTAACTTCAGTTTCATCACAGAAATTCTATTATATTCAACTTTCTACAAATATTCGTTTCCTTACCAATCTGAGTTTAAATTTTAATTTAAAATATTTTTTTAAACTTAAAAATTTAGATTCTTTATAAAATTTCAGATTAATAAAAATATTCTAATAATATTAAAAAAAAAAGATTGAACAAAAATTCCGAAAAGAATATAAAATCTTCTTGAAAGATCTTAATTTTTTTGTTTTTAGAGTAAATCGATTTTCGTAAATTGTATTATTTTCGACTCGTATGTGTATGTTTCCCTTAAATTGGATTTAATGAGAATAAGGGAATGATAAATTAGTTGGTATAGTCGATCGAAACGATACGATCGAATCCACATCAGAGAGAGGATTAGCAGTAGAGTAAAACCAAAGACGCGACGTGAGCAGCTGCTTCCTGAGAAAAAAAAAAAGAAAAAAAGAAAAACTCTTCACTCTTCACCTGTCCAATGCTGATACACTAAGATAATGTCTTTTTGATACTTCCTAGCGCGACAACAATTCGACATGAATTCGTCTCTTTCCTGTCAGTCAAGAAATAACGAGTATTTTCTTTTTTTTGTCACGCAGCTTTTTGATTTTTATCAAAAAGTATACTTTTTATTATTTTATTTTTTTTTTAAATATTTTTTAATAAATTAAATTTAATTAATTTTTTATTTTAATTGAAAAAAAAATTTAATTTAATTGAAAAGAAAAATCTATTTAATTTAAAAAAAAATTAAAATTATTTAAAATTCAAGTATAAAGAAAAAAAGTTGAATTTCAGAAAATATATGTACAAAAGGTGAGAGATGAGTCTATAGAAATAAGACGATAGGTTACACGCAAGTTTTTAAATCTTGTTTCCAAAGAGATTCTTGAACAAACGCGAATATAAGAATTTCTCACGCTCGAGGTGATATTCATAATGCAATCAATTCCTTATTGTTTTACTCTGATTTAAACACTGATGCTTTTCATTCAATTCTCTTCTATAATATATTCACTTTTTTTTTTTTTTAATTTCACTTTTTTCCCCGTTGCAAAATATATTTTCTCTATATCATACTCTGTCAAACAAAATTCACAATAATAAAAAATGTAAAAAAGAATTAAAAATAATTTAAAAAAATTTTGTATCCTTATTTTTCAATTTTAAATTATTAAATTAGTATTATTATTTTTACATTCTCATCATAATGAGAAAGTATTACATTTGTTATTTTTATTTTTATTTTTTATTTTTAAATTATTTTTTTCATTTAAAAAATTTTTAATTTTTAATTTTATTTTCTGTTGCAGGGATACACACCGCTTCATATAGCAATGCAATTTGATCATGAGAATATTTTCAATCTTTTGGTTCAAGTTTATGGTGAGGATAAATAAATAATTTTCTAATATTGAGAGAAAATAAGAAAAAGATTATTTTTATAAAAAAAAAAAAAAAAAAACAAAAAAATTGGTATTTGGAAAAAAGATAATAAACAGCCAATATCGATTTGTATTATCAGAATCAATGTATTGACATTGCAGAGATTTCCGTTTTTAAAAGGTGATAGGTAAAAAAAAAAAATCTATATTGTGTAAAGCACAATGATTGACAGACAAAAGTGATGTTTCCTTGACTTCGGCAAAAGTCAAAGTTTGTCTATTTATTCAAGATTAGATTTTTATCTTCATTATTATTATCTATTCGGTCTATTGGATTTAATCGATATATCAATATTATGTGAAAGATAAATAATATATTTTCATAAAGATGCTCTCGATTGATTATTATAATTATTTTGAAAAAAAAAAATTACGTTTTAAAAGAAAGTAAATTATAATTATAGAAATTTATATAATTTAAATTTTTGAAAAAATTACACACAGAGAAATATTTTATTTACATTTATTTGAGATAAATAAAATTTATTTCAAATAGAATTTATTTTAATTAAATAAAAATATATTTGTCTCAGAGTCTAATAACTTTTTATTTGTTTCAAATATGAAATTTAATTTAGCACAGATAATTTTTTATTTAGAGGAAATAAAATTTTTTATTTTAAATCAAAAAAAAAATTATTTGTAACGAATATTTATTTGGCTCTGAGACAAATATAATATTTCTCTGGGTGTACTCAATATAATTACAATTACAATTTTTATTATTATCAAATAATTAAGGTTCCCTCATTTTTATTTTTATTTTTTTTTTTTTCATAATTCCATTTTCCTTATTTTGGAATTTCCTAAATAAATATTTCCAAAAATAAACATTCCTTATACAATTTTCCCAAAAATAAATTTCTAAATCTATTAATTTTTTCAAATGATTTTTTGTATTTTATATAAACAGAAACTTTTTGAAATTTAAAGTACAAATGATTTTTTATTTTTTATATATGAACAGAAACGTTTTGAAATTCAAAATTCAAAATTCTATAATAAATGTAAAAAAAATGTATTTTGAAAAAATGAAAAAATTTACTTTAGAAAAAAATAATTAGGAAAAAGTGAATATTAGGAATTAATTAGGAAAATCGTTTGGGGGAACGAAAAATTAAATTATCAAGAAATTTATTGTTTATTATAATTTAATTATCTATAAATACTTTTTTTTAACAATTGATATTTTATTTTTAGGCGCAAATCAAGAAATTCGTGATTACAGTGGGAAAAAAGCAAGACAGTATCTAGTTTCTCAAGAGGCTGCGGTTAGTCAAGATACCTTTCGCAGTAAGTATTTTTGGTTTTATTCCTTTTTCTTCAAATTGATTTACAAATTTCAAGATTATTGTGAAACTTCTTCTCTATGTTCTGATGGACCAATATAAAAAAAAGCCGGTATTGCAACGTAATATACGTTATCCTGAATCTCTTTTCCCTCGGGGGCAAGAAGTTATTGCTTTGAGCAAAAGTGCATCGACGGGTGGTCTCGTGTCTTTGATTAGAAAAAAAAACCAGGTCTAGTTGACAATTTTTTTTTTTTTTATTATTATTTATTTCTTCCTGTAAACTCGTGCTATTATTCTATATCTCGGGTATTTTTTTCCAAAAAAAACAGACACATTATCTTCTTTATCATTATTCCATTATTTTATTTTTTTAATTATTTTTAAAATTATATTTTATTGTTATAGTACAGTTGAAATGTCTGCATGAAATTAATTCGTCGTTATTATGTTGATTCTAAAGCACGTTTTTTCTCAATCATTGAAAAAAAAATTCTTTTCTTTCTCTGCTTATTAAAGTAGTTAATATTTTTGTTAGAAAAAATTGCATGTTTTTATATTTTCATCGAAACTCTTCTATTAGAATTTTATTTACTTTTATATATTTTATTTAATTTTTAATATTTTATTTAAGTTTTAAAATTTTATTTAATTTTTAAAAATTTTTTTCTTTTATTTATTTTTATTTACTTTTTTTTTAATTATTTATTTAATCTATCATGTTTATTAGAAATTTGATTTTTTTTTGCAATCAAATATATTTTGAGCAAAACGAAAAAACTCGCTTTTGCAAAAGGTTTTGGTTCTTTGGTGATTTTGGGCACTGGATGTATTTCCTTCTGTTATAGGACTTACCGTAGCTGCTAAACTCAGGCAAGTTGAAAGAAGCACTTCTGCTAAATTTATAGTAAGCGATTATTAAAGTAAGAAAAAAACTTTGAGAATTGGGTTTTTTTTTTTTTTGACGATAGTTGAATTAATAAACGTAAGTATAAGAAAAAAGACAACTCTGCAATTTTGGAAAATCTAATAATTTTTCATTCATTACAAAATTTTTTAATTAAAACACATCAAGTTAATTAACAACAAAAGAAAATGATTTCCAATATTAATTTGTCATTTTTCACATTGCTGTAGAATTTTTCTTAATTTTCCGCTTACTACTCTAGAAAAAAAAAATCCTTTTGCTTTTCATTCCTTTTTTAATTCATTTCCATCTTCTAGAATTGAATGCTTTATGAATAATTTACAATAATTATTTATTAATTATTTACGAAAAGAATTATTTTTTAATTTATTTTTATATTTCTTTCATTTATTTATTTATTTTTTTTTTTGTAATATTTTGTACCCTTTTTTACAAATAAAATAGGCGTAAATTTATTTTTTATGCATAACACGATTTTTCATTATATATACATACATTTACACATAATAACAATGATTGCTATCCAGAGTGAAAACATACGTGTTGTATATAAAGAATTAATTAACTCTCCTCTTTTTCTTTCACGCGAACGTCGCTTGCTTATAACGTCATCGTTAATTACTCACGACCAACAATTAAATAATTAAGTTTTACTGCTGTCATCGTAACAATAATCTACTTTTAACCAAAAATTTTCAATTAATTCTGTTATTAATATTTTTATTAACAATATTGGCTCTCGTAGATTTTAAGTTTTTGTTGGGTATAATCACGATTAAAAATATTAAAATGAAAAAGCAAATCTATTACATGCACTTAACCAATTAATAGATTTATTTAATAAATCGATAATATTTAAGTACTTCTCTTTTCTTTTTTACTTTGCTTTTTCTGTTTCTTTTTTTTTAATGTTACAGTTTTGTAAAAATAATATTTTTTATCTTTTTTTCCAGAAATAAAAGCAAGGAAAAAGCATGCAGGTAATTGTTTAAATTCATTAATTTCTATAATTATTAATTTACAAATATTACAAATTAAAAAAAAAATTTCTTTTCCTTATGATAAAAATACTCTTTTCTTTTTATTTTTTTTTTTAATTATAATTTTGTAAAAATAATATTCATTCATTTAAAGACGAAAAACGAAGTTATTCTTCTTGAAAATTCTTATTGTTATCCCAATTTATTGAAAAATATTTTTAATAAAATAATTTTTTTCTTTTTTTTTAGAGAAAGATCTTGGTTTTCTACGTATTGGATCGCTGAACGTACGCGTCAAACGCACAACGGAAGCCTTCAGCCAATTCCTGGGTGTGGCCAATAATGAAAAAATACACAAAAGTTTTGGTTCTGCTGATAATATTCAGGTTTTTATCTTTTTTATTTTATTTTTATCCATTAAGGTAGAAAAATATTGTTTTCTATCAGAATTCACATAATTTTGTGTAATTTGGCTGCAAAAAAATGGAAAAAATTTTCTTTTTTAAAAAATAGGCCTTGGATTGACTTTAAAGTGCAAAAGAAGTCAATTTTCATTTCAAGAAATGTTGAAAAAGTAAATTTTTTTATTTCTAATGAATTTAATTAGTTAATAAATATTTTATTTCAAATAACTATTGTTATTAGGTATTAAATTAATTATATTAATTAATAAGAATAATTCCATAGGAATATTATCAAGAAAATTTATTTCAAATATTTTAAAATCGAACTAAAACAAAATTTCACGATTTTATTTCAGTAGGACAGATTTCTAATAAAAATTCTTAATATTTCATTTTAAAAAAATTTTTAAATCTAATTCAATCAAATTATTCGAATTAAAAATTTCGATATAGTTTTGTTTTAATGAAATGAAAAATTTTGAAACATAATTAAGTTTTAAAGAGATTTTAATTGGAATTTATTTAAATAATTGAATTTCAAAATATTTTAAATTTTACAGAAATTTTTGAATTAAAAATGTTTATTTATTTATTTATATACGGGATTTTAAAATAAAGTACCCTTTCTTTTTAATTCTTGAATTTTGAAAGAGTTATAATTAAAATGTTTAGAATTAATTAAATTTCAGAAAGTTTTATATTGAAAATTTTTGGAGTTATAAAATTTTAGGTTTTAAATTAAATTTTTTTTAAGTTATTCAATTTCGAAAGATTAAAATTTTTTTAAAATTTTAGTTGCTGAAGATTTTTGTAATTCTTGTGAATAATTCAATTTTACAGAAATTTTTTAATTAAAAAAGTATTTTAAATAATTTGATGAAAATTATTGATTGACAATAATTTATAAAAAAAAAATTTTTTTAAATTGAATTTTGAAAGAATTATAATTAAAGTGTTTAGAAATAATTAAATTTCAGAAATATTTATATTGAAAATAGAAGTATGTAAATTTTAAAAGATTTTAAATAATTTTTACAAGTATAATTGAATTTCAAATTGAAATTTTTTGAAAGTTTTTTTAATTTGTGTGAATATTTAAAGTTCACAGAATTTTTAATTAAAAAATGTTTTAAATAATTAATTTTTTTGTTGAAAAACTCGATGGAAATTATTGGTTGAAATTATTATTAATTATTAAATTTAGATTTTTGGAAATAATTGAATTTCTGATGATTTTGAATTAATTTGGTAATTTTATTTCCTAAAAATTATTTTTTCTTTTTAAATTTCAAATAATTATTGAATGTTTTAAAATATTTAATTGAAAAATATTTTCAAATAATTGAATTTTTAAGAATTTTATTTAATTATTGAAAATGATTAATTTAGCGGTGAATTTTAGTTAAAATTTACTAAGTAATTAAATTTTGGAAGAGTTGCATTGTATACTAAAAAAAAGTCGTATTTTATTTAAAAATTTTGTTGAAATTGTAGAAAAAATTGTACAATCCGAGGCCTGTAAAAAAAAATATTGTAAATATTTAAATTAATTCTTCAAAAGAACATAAAATGATTTTTAATTTAATTATTTAATTAATTGTTGATTAATTGTTTTTATATTATTTTCAAAATTTCCAGCTCGATAAATTGATGCCACCGCCAAAATATGGAATTAAAAAACGTCGAAGCAGAAGAGCACAGGATTTCACATTGTCTAGGAACCAACATTCTACCAGCCAACCAAGTACACCAGTTTCACAAGGAAAGGTTTTGAATTATCGACAAAGACATGAGAATCGAAGACCAGCATCCACAATATCCACTATTTCTACAACTGTACCCACGTCACCTACGACATCAAATCCACAGAATGATTCAGATTCTGACACAGCTGGTTTCGATTCCGCTTGGCGTGGTGGTGGTTCTCACACTTAAAATTTACATTTCATTTCATTTATAAAATATTGATGAGAGCAATATTTATTTTAAACTATATATATATATATTTGCTACACATCATTCTATTTTTTGAGATATAAACTAAGTTAGTAGCGATATTAACTTGAGAAACGTTTAGCACAAAAAAAAACTCCCAATATTCAATTGAATTTGAATTGAGTTTGTTTTACTTTTTTTTTAATACTCTTAACATTTTATTTGATATATAGAACAATTTAGTTGGATTTATATTTTATTTTATTTGACTTTTTATAAATTAAAGCCTTGAATATTTTTTTACGCGAAAAAGAATGAAAAAGAGGCTACTTTTAAATATATTTAACTTGCCTACGTTATTGTATAATATTACTTTTATTTATTTCTTTTTGCTATGTTAATAATTGTCTTTTAAATTAATTATAGTAATCGAAAACTAAACAGATAGGGATAAAGAATATAAATACTATTGTGTAAATACGTAAATGACATTCTAATGAAAAAGAAATATATTTTTCGTTTTTACGTTATAAGGTTTATTCCTTACCCTTTACTCTGAAATTTTGGCTTATAAATAACAAAAGAGTGTTTTAGTGAAAATTATTTATTTCAAATTACAATTTTCTATTATTTATAATTGTTATAAAATTAAATTTCTAGCTTCAGATTTGTCTGAATTTAATTCAGTTTAGTACAAAATGATATATAATCAGATCAGGAATTTTCTTTTTTGCGATTAAAACTATAATTAGACACTAATTTTTCTTAAATAAAATCACAAAAATTATCTTACTTGTGCGTTGTTACATTAAAAAATAAGTGCACTTATTTTCTTTTTCGAACTTACTTTTATTATCTCACTAATGTTAATAAATTTTGTAAATGTTTAAGAAATTGTGCCATTCGACAGAAGTGAACTTGAGGCAATATTTATTCTTTCAAATTGATTACTGCAATATTCATAGACTCCATCTTCAAATTGTTCACATTTTTTTTTTAAATATTCTTTAAAAGAAAATATCCATTCGTCTAATTTTTCTTCAACCGAAGAATATAAATTAATTAATACTTTCATTAATATTTCTCGAAATTGTTGAGATTCACTAACCAATTCTTCTAAACTTTCTTTGATACAAGTTTTAATGTAATTCCATAGAAAGTCAACAGCTCTTGCGAGAATATTTGATACAGGATTTTTTTCTTCAATTAATGCTTTTACTAATTTAATTGAAATAATAAGAAGTTTTGTAAATATAACGTCGGCCTTATCAATTTTACTAATATCAGTTAAAACATAAAAAAAGTCTTTTATCTTTGGTGTTGCAAGAGCAGCTAATTCTTTTGTATGTCGCGCTATAAAGTCAGTAAGAGCATTTTCAAAAATACTCTTATTAGGAATAGTGATATTTGTTGTAACAATAGGCGTTCGCATTGCTAAAGAAGTATTTGAATCAGTCATCGAAAAGCTTTTTACAAAATCAATCGGATTCTTAAATGTTTTACCATTAATCACAATATTACCATCAATAAAAGCAGGTTTAATTCCCTCAGAAGAAAAATTTTTCTTATTTCTTATTATTGATGCGAAAAATTCATCTTTATTTTCTATTTTATTGATTCCACGAATAATTTGTTCTTTCAATTCCACTGGATTTTCAATAATTGATTTTGTATTATTAACCATTTTTTTAAATGCCTTTTTATGTCTATTACTTCTTAAACTTGCTTCATAATTTTTAATAATTGAATTTTGATGATTTTCTATCAATGTTTTTGAACATTTATAATTCATAACAGAATTACCCAATACAAGTAATGTTGCAATTAAATTAAAAACATCTTGTTTAGAAACTGTTTTTGATTCTTTATATGTATCGTAAATATTAAAAATCGATATACCAGCATTTATTCCAGTTGCAGTTAAATTACCAATTTGTACACCATCGTGAACCAATTGAAATGTTCTACTTATTGATGAACCTTTTGCAATTGCTCGCGTCAATAAAATTGATCCTCCAGCCGATGCAACTCCAAATGCACTCGATCCAATATTAAACCAACAGGAAAATCCTTCTCTATTCAATATATTAATCGATTGTTGATGTTTAGAACGATCAACTAATGTTTGAGTACTTCTGCCTATTGTCCAAAGTGAACTCACACCAAGTCCAACACTACCTGAAAATAATTTTTTAAATGAAAATTTTATTGAAAAACGTAAAAAAAAAATTATATTTTCAGAATTGCCACAAGTCAGAGAAGTCAGGAAATTTAAAAAAAATATTTTTTGCCTTAAATATATGTTTAAAGGGAGGGATCGGTGAAATTTCAACTCATCGAAATTAATGTTGTCAATTTTTTTTCTGGCATTATTTGAGATCTAAAATTATTGTGAATTATTAAAAAAAAAATCATGAAAAAAGCCAACAAAAAAAATTGCCGATAAAAATAATAAAAATTGTTTAATTTTAATTATTTAGTTTAATTTTAAGTTTAATTTTAAAGGAATAATTATTAAAATTGAAACCAAACAAACATAATTGGTTTTGTTTAGGGGTAACAATTAAAAAAAAAAAAAAAAAATTTCGAACCTGAAATCACATTTTACCATGAAAAATAAAAAAAAAGTCATTTTCAACAATTTTACAATTTTTTTTTATTTTTCAGAAATCTTATTTTTTTGGAAAAAATTAAATTTTTCAAAATCCATACGATCCAGCTGATAAATTAAAATGGTTACAATCATGTACAATTTTGAAGATGTTAATTTGCAGTCTTTTTAAAAAATTGTCAAAATTTACATAATAAAATATTTTTGCCATTGTAAGATATTTCCATTCTCCAGTCAACTTTACGAAAAAAAAGTTTTATTTATTCAATAAAAATACTTCCGCTTTACCAGACTTATCCTTGATATAGTTATTAAGTGGGAAATTAAAAAAGAGTGTTTTAACATTTGTTGACAGCTATTAGAAAAAAGAATAATAATTATTAAAATATATTTAGAAAAATATGGAGAATAATATATTTATTAATTTTTAGTAATTTACAGGCAATATTGACGAAAATGCTAAGTAAATACTAACACTTTCTTTACAAAAATAATATCTGTCACGCGCCACTAGACTTCGAAATCCAACGAAGATGGGCTTGACAGCTGTATGTATGTACATAGGTAAAGAAACCAATTTATTAAACCTTGGAATACTTGAAGTTTTTTATTAAAAAAAAATTATATAATAATAAAATGTTTGGTCTGTCCTTCTGTCCTAACTTGAAGTTGGCCTTTTTCTGATTTCACGTATTTTTTTGAATAGTAATCTTATGACGTGTGAAATTTTGACAATTCTTTTACTCATTTTTGCCAAAGTTGTATAATTGTGTTTCCAAATTTCGGAATAAGTTTCTTTAAAATTCCAAATTTGAAAATTCAATTCACGAAGCTGAAGTACACAACGTTTACCAACGAAATTTTTTTTAAAGTTGTATGATTCAAAAATTCTATACAAATACAAAAAATTTATGATGAGAAAAAAGATGCGCCAGGAAATTTCGTACAAGATAGTAATTTGAAAAAAATTTATTTTTAAAAATTAATTTTTAAGGTACCAGGGGCCAACGAATATCTATTAAATATTAATTATAAAAATACAGGCCTCGAATCAACTTAAAGACACAAAAAAGTCGTTTTAGTCGATTTATATTAAAAAAAAAAAGTGGATTTGTTTTTTATTTTAACAAAAATATTTTACAGATTTTCAAATAAAATTTTTTTTTTTAATAATAATCCTTTTCGAAGGGTTAAAGTTGAAATTTTTAGAAATAATTAAATTTCAAAAGATATTGTAAATTTTCAAACAATTATTAAATTTTACAGAACTAAAAATAATTTATCAAACAATTTTTGGAAAACATTTTTTAAATTTAATTAAATTTTCAAAGATTTAAAATTAAGATTTTTGAAATTAATTGAAACTTTAAGTGTTTTATAATTAAAATTTTAGATAATTTCACTAAAAACTTATTAGAAAATGCGGACAAAATACAATAATTTCAAAAATGGTTTCAGATAGTTGAATTTTCAAAGAATATTATTAAAATAGTTAAAAATAATTGAATTTCCTTAGAGTTATAATTGAAATTATTAAATTTCAAAAAAAAAATTTTCGATTGAAAATTTTAGAAATAATTTAAATTTTAGATGCTTTTAAATTCAAATTATTGAAAATTCAATTAATTTTGAATTCAAATTTTTGAGAATAATTAAATTTTATTTGATTTTAAATTTGGAAAATAATTGAATTTCAAGTTTATTTTGAATTGAAAATTTTGGGAAGTAATTGAATTTGAATTGAAATTTTGGATAATAATTTAATTTAAGTTCATTTTTGATTGAAAATTTGGATAATTAATTTTGAATAGAAATTTTAGAAAATAATTGAATTTTATTTCATTTTAAATTGAAAACTTGGTAAATAATTAAATTTTAAATTGAAAATTTTTGATAATTATTGAATTTTAATTGATTTTGAATTAAAATTTCGGGTAATAATTGAATTTTAGTTTATTTTGAATTGAAATTTTTAAAAAATAATTCAATTTTATTGTGATATTTTTTTTAAATTATAAACAATTGTTAAATTTCATAAAAATTTTAATTGAAAAATAATTTTGATATAATTGAATTTGTGATGTATTTCATTAAAATTATTAAAAATAATTAATTTAGTGAAGAATCATTTTAGTTCAAAATTTGTTAAAAAATTGAATTGAAGAAGATCAGAAGAAGATATAAATTTAATACTAAAAAAATGTATCCGAGGCCTGTAAACATATAATTTTCATTATTATCATTTAATATGTAATAATATTCTAATAAATTAAATTATTATTGATTATATGAATCTTTAATTTCTTTATAACAAACAATTAAATACTCAATTTTGCTCGCTTGCGCGCGTTTAATTTTGCTAGTAATTAATAAAATAATAAAAAATAAAAAAATTTTTTTTACGATAGTAAAATTTTGATTGTTATTTAATTTTTATCCATGTAGAAAAATACAGTTCTGTCGGGCATCTAAATTTCTTTTTAACAATAAGAAAAGATGATTTTGAATCGACAATAGAAAATTGAATTTTTTTTAGATACAACTGGTTCAATCTGACTGTAATTGTTTGGAATTTTGAAAAAAAAGGTAATATTACAAAATAAGCAATATTACCAAAAATAAATTTTAATTTAAATATAATAATATTTTAATTGGCTTAGATATTTATTATTTTCTGCCTTTTTAATAATAAAAGAAACACACTATTTTTTTATTAAAATGTATATTAAATTTAGTTAAATACTAAATTTAATAACTTCTTAGAGATATAAAAATTAAAATAATTAGATTTTTTCTCCCTCATTCTCTCACACTTTAATTTTCCATTCCATATTCAATGCAAAATGTAACATTATATAAAATAAATCAATATTTATAATTATTTTGAATCAAAATAATTATATTTAACGAAATATCTATATAAGCGATTGTTAAATAACATATTCGACAATTATTAATATTTAATTTATATATAACACAAAAATGTTCTATTCAAGCATACTTCACGTCAAAAACGTTCTTCATAAAATTCAAAATATCCTAAACAAACTAGCACCTACATGCGTAATTTTTTTTTCACCACAGTCAGATAAGTTTGGAAAATTGAACAAAGTGGTTGTGCACAATGAAGTTAATAAGTGTATGTATTGTTAGTTACTTTCTATGGACGAAATTCCTAGGAATATCTTCAACAAATAATTCTTATGATGGATTGATAAAATACCTAAACAAAGAGCAACCTCATGAGGTGGTATTTGTTCTCGAAAATGAACTGGATGATCCAGTAATGAATTCTCTTATGACAGCAGTTAATATGAATTACCCATCTTTGATTATGACCTACGATATATTAAATAATAAAAATTGGAAGGAAATCAGAGATTATTATAAAGTAGGAGAGTCAACACTTTTTGTTCTTCAGAATAAAACTATCAATTTTAAACATATGCTAAGAATGTCATCTCGGCGTTATAAAAAAAGAGTTTTAATTATAAATTCTTTTCTTTCGAGTCAAAATGATCTTAACGATACCTTAAAGATCCATTGGGAAGAAGGTGGTTTAGATATTTCTGTATTGTCACACAATCATCAATGGAAAGTTATGCTTAACGCAAGTCATAAATATGAGGTACCTTTTATAAGCCAAATAAACCCTTTAACTGAAAAAGTTTCCTTTGAGAATTTGTCATTTGAAAGCCAATGGTTTCAAAGTAAATTAAATAGTATCCATCATTTCAACTTAGAAAATATTGGTGAAATGAGAACTTTTAAAAGATTCAATTTCTACACTTCAGGCGGTTCAAATGTCATTTTAGGATTCAAAAATTTTAAATTTGTTGTTCCAAAGACGTTAAAACACTCTAATGACATGAGTCTGTCTGAAGAATTTTGGTACTTGATTTTGGGAACAATTGGCATGATTGTCATCATTCGATTAACAGCTTTTTATATGAGATTCGAGAGGAGTACATGGCAAATATTGAACATCTTTCAAATTATAATTGGAATGTCTACTGCCCGTGAACCGAAAAAATTTGTGGAAAGAATAGTTTTTGGCTCACTATTGATAACATGCGTCGTCTACTCTGGTTATTTTTATTCAGTTATTTTGGACATCACTTGGCCAGTAATATCCGAAATAAATACTCTCGAAGAACTTGCTAATTCATCTTTAACACCGATGGGCATGCGCGAAGATTTAGGTCCATTATATACATTATGTAGGAATAATTTAATTATTGAAAAACTTTGTTTAAAAATAGATTATCTATATACGATACCTGTCTACTACAATGATTATTGTATGACATACTTGACTGAACATAAGAACATATCTTGTCTTTTATCGAATGCTGAGAATGTTGTTAATGAGTACAACTCTAAAAATGAGGCAAATATTAAAATACTGGACGAAATTGTTTTTCAAGATTTCATTACCTACACTAATTTGTTGAATGTTCATAAAGATCTCCCTAAAAAATTAATTCGATCTGCTTTTGAATTTGGGCTACTTAAAGAACTTTTACCGTACAAAGTACGGGAAACCAAAATTTTGCCACCAGAGGTA